CGCTGCCGCGGGGCCGCGCCGGCCTGGGCGTCGCGCCGGCTTTTTTATTATGATTATTATTAGTAGTGTTATTATTTTTTCGCGCCATGTACATTTCTAACAAAGTTTATCGTGGCTATCTATCTATGACGGTGTTTTATTTACCGATTCATATCAAATGCTCTTGTATCGACTTCACGAAATCTAAGTAAACCTAGAGCAAGGTTTAAAAAAAGAAAAAGAAAGAAAGAAAAAAAAAAGAAAGCAAAGTAAACTATTTCAGGTTTTGTACAGAACCGCCTGGGCCTGGCCTTTTTGTGGGGTCAGCAATGGGCGGTGCGTTGGCTGGGTGGGGGAGCAGAGGCAGCCGGAGCTCCTGGGGCAGGGACCTGCAGCAGACAAGGAGGACACGGTTGGGCACAATGCCCTGCCCTGTTCAGCCCACTCCACAGCAGGAGCAGGCAGGTGGAAGGGTTGACTGCAGCTTTCCAAGCCCACCACAGGGTGCTGAGGCTGTGCCCCATCTGCCACCCAAAATCTCTTCCTGCTGTAGCACCAGAAGAAGCTCAGGCTAATCTGGCATGGCCTTGAGTGTCCTGGTAGGACACCTCATGGTCCACCCAGATGTAGCTGTCCACCACCCAGCACAGCTCATCATCCATCTCCTGTGGACAGGTACACACACTCATGTCTCTCTGCTTCTCCCTCCATCTCAGAGCTCACCAGGTGCTACAGGCTTTCCCCTTCTTTTCCTTTCACCATTTGTCTGGAACTATTTTGCCAGATTGACCCTCCTGTCCTTGGGACTATTTTTTAAGTACTACTTGGTTATCACAAGAGAGACTGAATGTGATGGTTGGACTTGGTGATCTCAGAGGTCCTTCCCAACCATGACTATTCTGTGATACCTACAGACTTGCAACTGCTGCTGCTCCTGCAGTTCTTTCCTAAGACAAGGCTGATCACATCTCCGACACCTAGGCTGATACTGGCACTTGGCACATGATGCTGGCAGTGACACAAGATGACTACGGCCTGCACAGCATTAACTGGAAGCCCTGACAGTCCCAGTAGGCACAAGTCTTCTACCTAGAAGTAAGAATGATGTGGCCTCAAACCCTGGTGATGTTATGTTAGCTTATTAGGTGGCAGCGGCGGGGTTGGATAATATGGACCTTTTCACTGGCCACATCTCTTGAAACAGATCGTTTTTTGTTGAACCTTCGTTGTAAATAATTCCTTAAGAAAGAAGGCCAGGAGTGCTGCTGAGGGATTGCTTCCTTTTGCTCCCAAAAGGAGCCTCTCCTGAGCATCCATGATGCATGGCCACGTGTGCACAGGCGAGGTGGTTGCCTGATGTTATTGTGTGCAGTACAAAGCATCACAAAACTCACCCCAGTTAGATATTGGCAGCTTCAACCCAGGCAGTCAGTAGTGTCACGTGGTGAGTGGATGAAGACCGTGTTTCCAAGGGCAAGGCTCTGACCACCCATTTGGATTGAGGGATCTGAAGGAAAGCTGACAAGTTACTTCAAGCCAAGCTTACCTTTTGGCCAAGGTCAGCACAGCAAGTATCTATAGGGGCCCAGGGAATGTTCCTATAAGGAACAGGGCACCAGGCCCTGGATGGAAGCACCAAAAGAGAACAAAGTTTGGTCCTCTTTCACTGCTGTCTAATGGAAAACTTAGCCAAATGTTGGCCATTAGCTCCTTACAAAGCCACAAGAGAAAGAGTAGCACTTTTGATAGATGGTGCTTCCCACTGAGCAAGCTCCCAGTCTCTCCTTGTGCCTACCATCACTCAGGAGTTCCCTGCAAGAGCAGGGAACCTTTGCCAGTAGGGTTGTGTCCTGCCTGCATCCCACACCCCCACTTTCCCACTCCTGCCTGTGTATTCCACACCCTCCCC